CTCAGTTTAACTCCCGTTATGAACGAACGAATGAATGAACAAACTAAAGAGAAAGAGAAATAAATAAACAACCAACCAAGCCAACAATATGCTATATAATAAACACACTTAATCCAAAAAGAAATTCACAGATTAAAACCCAGAGGATGAAAGGATGGAAAACAACAGTCTATGCAACAGGAGCTTGAAAACAAGTAGGAATAACTATCCTAATTTTGAACCAAGCCAGGGGTTCCCAAGGGGTGCACTGAGATGGTGACTGAGACTGGACATGGTAATGCGCATTTGTAATCCCAGCACTTGGGAGGCTGAAAACAGGAGGATCATTATGAGTCCAATCTGTGTAGTGAGACCCTGTACTAAACATAAAAAAAAACAAAAAAAAAGAAACAAACAAAAACACAATATTGAGGAATGGGGAATTAGCGCAGCGGCATAAGGACCTAGCTGGCAAGTGCAAGGTCCCAAATTCAATCCCTGGTACCATAAAACAAAACAATATTGATATTTCATCTTCTCCAGAAAAAATAGCTATCATCAAAGTTCTGGGGTCTTAAAGCAACTTTCATGTATGAGTCAGTAGCACTTCACCTACAAAATCTGAGTGTGAAGGGCTTTGTAATTAATACAAATACATGTGTTCATGTGTTCTGCCTTTCCTGTGCAAGCCTTCTTTTGTCTGATTGCTTGTAGGTTTGGAGGACAGTTCTTAATTAGGTGCACTGTTCATGTCTTTCCCCACCCCACAGCCTCATAAAACTGTCTTAAGTACCTGAGACTTAAATGCTATTGCAAGCTGAGTACACTCCTACTCCTTAGACTGGAATTCTTAAACACAAGACTGGAGCCTAAATGGGAATTTGGCTGCACAGAGAAAAGAAAGAAATTTGTAGGAAGGAAATTTGAAGCTTTGCAAATTCTCTCCTTAGGAAGCTGCAGCTTAATTTAGGAAGCAGATTCCAATTGCTCAAGAAATAAGAAGACATCAGCCTTTGGGATCAAATGAATTTAAGTTTCTAACTATCAAACTCATTACCAACCCCCAAGGCATTTGATATGTCTGCAAAACTCCAGTTTCTGTTTCAGTTCATCCCTCCATGAATCTGGCTCACACCGATCCCAAATTTCTGAATGCTAAATACTAACACTCAGCGTTTGTTCTTCTCAAGCAAGGACAAACCTTTTCTACAACCTCATCCATCTAAATTCTGCAACTACCTGAACTAGACAAAGTCAGAGCTCATGGTTGCTAGGAAGGTAGACTTCTGGCCACAGAAGCAGGATGGGTCAGTCCTACACAGCTTAGGACTAGATAAAAGAAATAAACTTTATTACCACCTTTCTCACATACTGTACAGGCAGGCAGAATTTTCCATGTGAACCCAAAGGTGGTCAGTTTTTTTGAAAACAATTTTCCCTCCGTTAGGTGATTTACACTGTGATAATGCCATAAAGAGAATTTTTTTCTTTTTTTTTTTTTTTTTTGGTGGAACCAGGGATTGAACTCAGGCCCTTGCGCTTGCCAGGAAGGCACTTATTCTACTGAGCCATCTCCCCAGCCCCCAAGAATTTTAAATGCAATTATTAAAGAAATATTCAAAAGAAAAAAAATAACAAATGGTGAGGCTGCAGGGAAAAAAAAAATTTCTACATTGTCAGTGGGAATGTCAACTAGGACAAACCACGGGAGATCAGTTTGGGAGATTCCTCAAAAACTTAAAACTAGAAATTTTATTCAACCCAGCTATTTCCCTTTCTATCTTTCCAAAAGAGTTCAAAGACACTATCTGATGAAGATACATACATATCCACATTTACAGCAGTACAAATTGTAACAGCTAAATCTTTTTTTTTTTAAATGTATTTAGTACAGGGTCTACAGGGTCTCACTACATAGATCAGACTCATAGTGATTCTGTTTTCAGCCTCCTAAACATGGGGATTACAGGCACACGCCACCAGGCCCAATCTCAATCTCTGGCTCAGCACGCCCCGGGGGTGGGGCCAGAATGGCACAATGGGGATTGAACCCTGGTCACTGCACTCTGCCTAAGCAGGCACTTTAGTCTGCTGAGCTATCTGGCCGGCCCTGTTGTAACAGCTAAATCTTAAAGCCAATCTACATGTCCATCAACAGATGAATGAATAAAAAAAAATGTTATTTATACAACATGGAGTACCACTCTACTATAAAGTGAAAAGTTTGAGTCTTTTATAGGAAAACAGATGCACTTTGAGATCATAACATTAAGTTATAAGGAACAGCACAAGTCAGAGACCAGCCAAGACCACCAGGCTTGTGTAAAGGTGAAAAGGCGTGGGATTTATTGTGCCTGGATGTACACAGAGGGCAAAAAGGCCATCTGTAGGGTGCAAAGAGAAGTGGGCTTTTTTTTTTTTTTTTTTTTTTTTTACATGGATTGAGAAAAGACAAGGGACATGAGGCAGGAAGATCTTAGTAAACCTGAGTGATCAAAAGTTCTCTGGATGTCTCATGCTTCAGTGGGCAAAGTCCTTGGGGCATCTGGTGTGAATGCTTGGGGGGTCTTTAGATGTGCAGGTGCTTGCAAGAGTCCATGTTCACCTTCACTCTTTCAAGGCATCCTGTGTTTGCTGAGGGCAGCCCTGCTGCTGAGCTGAGCTATGCCTTTGCAGGCAGACAAGTTGGGTACTGGGAGAATCATGTCCAAATGGAGCCTTACATAAATGAAATCAATCAGACACACATGCTTAAATATCACAAGGTTTCTCTTACATCAAAAAACCCAAAGTATAAGTAAATTAGAAAACTAAAAGGGGTTGGGAAGATAGCTTAGCAGCATAAACGCCTGCCTAGCAAGTGCAGGATTCAGAGTTCAATACCTGGTACCAAAAAAAAAAAAAAAAAAAAAAAAAAAAAAAAAAAA